CCTTTCGAGAACGTTCCAGCGCACAGATCTGGAGCGTAGATCGACTGGAGAAGTTTAGGGGAGTGTACTGACGATCGACAGGGCTGTGCGGCCGTCAACAAGGATCGACGTCTCCCCGGCAGCAGCTTCGACAGCGGCCCAAGGAACGTGAAGTGTGAAGGTCAAACGGACCGTGCTGACCGTGATACCCCGGTCAGCACCAATCGAAGAATCATAGACTCGGAGCTCCGTAACTACCAGTTTTGATATTTTCTGTTGTACTAATAAAATCGAACTCACGTGTGTCGCAACGGACACAACAGTGATGAAGAAGGGTACCAAGTTCAGACCAGCTATTACTAAAAATGCAGATGAGTTTATATCTGGTATCTCTAACACTTTAGATACTCTCGGCTCTGTTGTGGCAAGTCGTTCTGTTACTGTGATTCCTGAACACGAAAACTTCAAACATAGGATATTAGCTGTGGCACGGTAGCGAATTGCTAACCGCTGCTATCCTTCTCCTCAAGTCAATATTGACTTTGATAGACACAAAGACATTACGTGAGACTCAAAGACATTTTGTCATAACGTCTGTCGACAGTGCTCCAAACAACTAATAGTTATATGCAAGAAGTACTATGCTTTGTTGCACTGCAATGAGCTCAGTTTCAACAGTCTTAACCACATTCGAGGAAATAGTGTTATAGTCCAGTTCCGCTCTTCGTCCAACTACTGGTCCTCGATCATCTTAAAATTCTTGATAATTTTCAGCTTCATACTACCGTTGATGACACATCCATCCCTTTCATCTATGCTATCCCCAACCTTTATAAAAACTCTGTGAATACAGATTCATTGCAGCGGCAAACAAATTATCTCTCCGAATTCTCCCGATTACTCTGCACCGAACATTAGTTCATTTAAAGAATCACTTTCGCAACTACTGTACACAAACGGCTATACTCAGTAGATGGCTCCTTTACCTCAGCATTACCATTTCACTAACTGTGGTGCAAAAGCTGACCACACTAAGCAGTGCGATCGAATATTTACATACTGCAGATTTCAGTAACCTCTTCACTAGTCTGCCTGATTCTTACATTATTAATAATCTATTCTACCTCGTTGAGCTCAACTTCACCAATGCGGGAAAAGAATATACTGGTTTAAGTAAAACCCAAACTTAGTACGCTAATGAATTCACAGGCAGTGTCATATCTTATACTAAGGATGAAGTCAAGGCGATTCTTCGGGTTATTCTTCAAGAAACATAGATATGTTTTAGTAGTTACGTTTTCAAGCAAGTCCAAGGTGTAACAAAGGGCGGTAATGCTAATCCCTATATTGCCAGTCTCACATTGTCTGTCATGGAGTATCGGTTCCTTCGTAAGAACTCAGATATTCATCTTCATCTCTTTCGATATATAGATGACATCCCTGATTGTTAATTGCGCCAACTTTACTGAAATTGCCGGTAAAATCTACGGGCCCAGCCTACAACTCAACACCGCTTACTTTGGACAAAGCGTTTGTTTTCTAGACCTCGAAATTTTATGTTGCGAGAGTAGATGTATTTTCAGCGTATTACAATAAGACCTTGGACTACCCACTCACAGTAAATCACGGTGGCTATCCAGATAGCGATATAGGCCAAACGGTGCAAGAACGTGTCATTATATCGCAGCTGCTTCGTTGTGCACATATATGCACTCTTCCAGAGGGGTTCCATGATTGGGCTAGACGACTTATAAGTATCTATAGACATAAATAGTTTGATATTGCCAAAATAGAACGCTCTCTTCTCAGATTCTGCTTCAGGAACCGCTCAGTACTTAGCAAATTCATCTACTCCGATGATCCAGGAAATAATGCCTAGTCAGCACGCTCTTCGCATAAAAAGTATTTACTTATAATTAGCACATAATGATTATCCGTTTATGGGTTAACTTTCTTATTCTCTCCTCTCTCACTCTGTCTGTTCTCTCTCTGATTTCTCTCTCATTCACATTTCTGTCCTGCAAATTAGCCACATGACTGATCAGAACATAGCGGGTAGGAGACTGTACTGATGATTCCTGTTCCTACCCGTATAAATTGCTCGGTCTGTGTTTACAGCTAAAGGATGAAACACAGGTCTACCACACAGTAAAATGTCCTTCCGCACACGACATTTACGGCCAATCCTTCCATTCTACTATTTCACAGTATCAAATATCCTCGTGTTCGTGGAGATTATTGAACATTAAGGCCAGCCAATAACTTCCAGTTATTGTTTATGATTATAGAGACTTCACTGACAAATGACACCTTGCTGGTATGCCGCCGTGAAACTGTAGTAAGCCTTTGCGATGCAGCGTTTCCAGAACTTCGACGAGCATAGGATTATTTAGACTGCTGTAGCATTCGGTGAACAGTGGCACAGCCATCGAAGGATAAGAATCGTCGACTCGTTCGCCGGTATACATATTGAAATCAAACCATGAACCTTCATGATGATCAAAGAACACCGCCTCAAACGTATCAACAAATTTAGCTCGTTCGTAGTTGATTTCCGCGCGCCGACTCATATTCCCTACAATAAGCCTTTTTAGCTCTTCATCCGTTATCAAATATCGAAAAATAAACACATTCTCTTCAAAAAACTAGGCATCCAAGTCGGCAATTTACTAGCAATGCTTAAATCTTGAACTTAAACGTGTCTGTACGTGTGACCTACGTATGCGCCAAAGCTGAATATGAAATCTTTAACTTACGCAAGGACATATATCATCCTTGAGAAATCTCAGCTCCTTTGCTATCTAGTCCTGGAAGTCACTTTTCCCCCAAAAAATTATCTTTTTGATTTTCGCAAGACCCAAACGCACATGAACAATAATTTCAATGCGGAGGGTCCCATATGGGCGGGGAAGGGGGAGAGGGGGAGGGGGACACGCTCCAAATGTTTTGTCGTCCAAGCTTCTTTGGTTGCTGAGTTGAAAATCAGTGATATCTAGAAGTGTACAAAGCGATATCCGTACCAAATTC